AGTGGCACAATCAAGTATTGGAAGGTTGAGCTAGGGGTGGTATGGTGGTGCAATAAAAAGAAAGCAGGCTCCAATGGAATCTCACAGTCTGTGAATTTCTGGGTGATGTGTCGCACGGCAGTTAATTTTAATAGATAGTTAATTTTAAGATTCATCTATGACCTGTCAATAGTGGGAATCCATATCTAATCTGGATTCATGTGGATCATTTTTTTTTTCCCTAGTCATTAAAGATCTAGAAGAAATAATGAATACTTTACAATCTGAACTTTAGATCAACAGGATACTAAATTTACCTACAATAAATGCCTACAAAATCAGCAAAAGTTACATTACTTACCTTCAGTGAGATGTGTCCCTTGAGCTACTGTGTCTTCCTTTTGATGAAATCTTCCTCCTCTGATGCCCCCCACCTTGGCCACTGTATTCTTCTGGTGTGATGGGGGTTAATAGAATTAAGGGGCTGTGACAGTCATACACTAAGAGTTCTTGACTATGCCTGCTTTTATGCCCAACTGCTCTATTTATGGAAGACAATACTACAGCTTCTATGAATGAAACACCATCTATGAATGGAGGGGACAGATCTTTCAATCATCTACCTGTCCATCATTCATAGATCCTGTGTCATTATGGGAAACTGTAGTATGGACCACTTTGAATGGAGAAGCTGAATGGGAAGAGTGAACATAGTTGAGCACTCTTGAGGTGTACGGTTACAGTCCCTTAGTTTTATTAACCTCCACCATATCAAAATATTATGGTGGGGAAGGGGGAGGCATCAAAAGGGGAAGATTTTGGTGAAAGGAGTATACAGCAGCATAAGGGATACATCTCACTCAAGGTAAGTATTATCCCTTGTTCTGACTTTTTATATTTTTGTTTTAGATAAACTTAGGCTTCCAAGGCAGACTTTGATGAATTTAAGGCATTTCCACAGACATGTTCGAAGCATGCTAAGACTTGTACTTCCTCAACAGCTGGGCATACTCAGGACTTTCATGAGCATTATAAGAGGTCTTTATCCAGCAAAAATAAAATTTAAGACTTAGTTACTCATTAACACCATGGTAAAAGTACACAGCAATTAGGTCCCCAAAGTAACATTTGCTTAGAATTTAACTTTAAAGGACAAAAGTTATTTATGCACTATACCTTTGTTTTAATTTTGAATCATTAAAAAAACACCCACTCAACCTACAAAACAACAGATGGCTGACTTTACCTTTTTATTGATAAATAACCAGAAAGGTCAGCGAAGAGATAAAGACTTGTTTTTAAGCTTACGTAGCATGGCAATAAAGGCCTGCCTTTGTTATATTTGAATTGGAATATGAGAAAAAATATTGGATAATGCTCTGCTTAATTCCTCTTGGTGCTATGAGCTCACAGTAAATAAAACCATTATTACATTTGCATATTCTAGATTTATGCTTCACTAAAATGGTTAGATGTCCTGTTACCAGGGTAGGTGTGAAAGGCAGTTTATGACATTTTACCCTGTTCAGTTCGATTTGTACACACTTGTTCCAGTACTGTAGGAGCGTTATCTTTTTATTTGAATCAGACACCTAGAATGTTTCTACTCACCCATTCCACTGGTGAGTAAAAATAATCCTTGATGCATATATCATAATCACATGGAGCACGTGCAAGTACATTTAAATCAAACAACAGAAGTTTGCATTGAAACTCATAGGAGGTACATTTTTATGCAGCTGGCCACTCTGCTTGTATGAAATTTTATGGTTGTCAATATCCTCATTTTCTGATTGACCACACACACAAGCCTAAAAAACTGCAAGCCAAGTGTTCCCTGGTCCCCAGCACAGCCCTCTACAGATCTCAGTAAGGACTCATGTAACAAGGATCTGCATTCCCCGCAATGAAATGCTGTGCCACCTACTGAATCTTCCTGCAAAGGATGATGCATTGTCCAAAATAAATGAACGGCCTGACAGCTTTTATAACATTTTAGACTCCCACAGAACAAGCATGGCAAAATGTTTGCTATTACATTTATTACTTTAAAAACCCTCTTGAGTTCAACAGGGGACATGCTATGTCTGTAAGCCTTTGACTGAGATGCCAATGCTGACCTCTGTTTGTGGAAATGCTAGCTTCTTGGCTATCTTGTTGATCCTTGGGCTTCAATACACACACTGGAACACATATGCAAAACAAGAGTTTGCATTTCATCAGCTGCATACTTCCTATGGGCCAATGACTGGATAACTACAGATACCAGTGACAGCCAGGTGAATAGCATTTTCAGAAAGAGTTCAGCAGTAGTGCTTTCTCATTACAGGTTACGTTTGAATTGTAGAAGTTTGGGTCATTATCATCCAGAGGGCTTCTTTGGTGCACTAAAGAGGGTTTGCAAGTTAATGTATATGTAAACTCTCACCTTGTAAAACCCATTCAGTTTAAAATAGAAACGAAAGACAAGAAAGGCAAACCATATGTGTATAGAAATAAAAAACATAATATATATACTTTTTACCCATTTTATAAGTGATTATATTCACTCTGTTCACAGCTGCATAAGAGCTGGAAGAGGAGAAACAGCATCACACTGACCCTCCAAGTAAAAGGCTGTGTAGAATGGGGGTAGGGAAGCATTTCATAGCAAGTCTGAGCATTGGAGAAGAGTAGGCTGAGTTCCCAGCATAGCTAGAGAACTGAGGTGTTCGTTTATGAACCAGCAGTAATAGATCGCTGCTCAGTTCTCCGGTATTCTCGGAGAACACAGTTCTTCTGTGAATGCCGTTTATGAAGCATATGTAGATCAGTTCTCCAAACGAAGGGAGAACGGTCTAAAAACGCTGGAAAACGGCTGATTTTACTATAATCTCGCGAGATTACAGTAAAAATGGAACATTTTGGATGATCAGTTTACTAAGCAGATGAAAACACCTGTGGATGTCACCGAGCAGCAATCAAGCATAATAAGCACCAATTAGGCAGCTTTAAAATGACTGTGATACTCAGCTCCTTCTAGACATTTACTGGTGTGGTTACAAAACATGGTGAAGGCAAGAGAATGGTCCAGGAAGACAAGAGAAGAGGTGATTTCTCTTCACAGGAAGGGCAATGGCTATAAGAAGATTGCAAAGATGTTAAACATACCAAGAGACACCTTAGGAAGCATCATTCGCAAATTCAAGGCAAAACGCTACCTGGTCGTGGCAGAAAGAAGATGCTGACTTCGACTGCTGTGCGCTACCTGAAGCGTATCTCTGCTTGAGAAAAGTTTGTGGTACAGAAGTTTCAGCCCAGACAATAAGACGCACACCCTCCAATTCTGTCTCCAGCTCTGGGCTGGAGAATCTGGAGGGAGAATGGATCACAGATCTCCAGAGAACCTTGCCTACTGGGCTGAACATATTCTCCTGGGTGTCATAAACTGTGGGAATGACCAGAGTCCACTAATAGCTGTGATGGCCTCTGAATCTCAGCTATCCGATTGAGAACCTGTGTGTCATAAACGGACACCTGACTGTTGGTGCGTTCTCTAAGAATGTGACTGAAGTGTGGCCAGTTTGTAATAGGAAATCGCAGAGGGTCTGACAAGCACACCATGGATTTCACACAAAGAGAACAGGAAACAGTACTTGTTCATACAAGTAAATGGTACAGCAGGCACATATTAGGAATATGAAATGTTGGGCTAAAATACTCTTAAATAATGATCTACACAGCATGTGATGAGGTCCACCCCTAGCCCACTGTATTGTTTATTTGGCTACTGGTTGACAGTTTATATAGGATTGCTATTGTAGTGGTTTTTTTTTGGTCAGCAGTTATCTGTCAAACTGTTATCCTATTATTAGGGAGTATAATGGAGCTGATAAATGTATAAAAACTGAACTGATCTTAAAGTGCAATCCACCTTAACGCCTTCATGATGGAGGGTAAAACAATTGTTAATGTCTGAACACCGTTTTGCAGTGTTAGTAAAACTGTGCATGCCATTGCAACTACTTAGTCTGTCAGGGTGAATTATAACTTGTTTCTTTTCAAGACAAATTGGGCTTTCATTTGGTGATAAGTGGTACTGGATATCTCCTAATTTGTTTTAATACCATAAGGAAAACTGGCACAAAATAGTAAAAAAAAATCTTTTTTAAAGGTTATCTATATATTTCTTGCTATTATCATAACCTACCACCAAAGAACAACTCAAAATAAATTGTGTATGTGTATGTTAGTTGTTTGTACCTGTAGTAGTGCACTTTCTCAAAGTGGAAAAGATGCAATGGGGGAGATTTACTAAACCTGGAGAGCGCAAAACCTGGTGCAGCTGTGCATGGTAGACAATTAGCATCTGTCATCAGCTTGTTCAATTAAACTTTGACAATAAAAACTGGAAGCTGATTGGTTTCTTTGCAGAGCTGCACCAGATTTCGCACTCTCCAGTTTTAGTAAATAAACCCCAATGCATCTTTTTCTCCATTTAAGAGGAGAAAACAACACAGGGTTGGGCTGTAAAGTGACTGATCACTATGATAGCCAATCAGAGGCTATCACAGCAATCTGGTGATTGGGAACTGGGCCTCGTGGTTCCTGATTGCTTAGTACAAGACTCAGAGCTGTCACTGACAGCTCGGCCACTGTGCTGGGAGTGTGCTGTGCAGCATGTTCCCAGCACAAACACGGTGTATATGCAGCACCCACAGATAAAGGCACACTTTCCTGAGCCTGCATATATGCATACACTTGGTGGAAAGAGGATAAAGTGATATGTTAGCTAAAAATGAAGTATATTTGCTGGATGAAAAAAAAGGTATATGTTACAGGATAGAATGGGACATTCATGAATAATTTATGGATGAGGTGGCCTAATGTGTGGATTTATATTCAATGAAAAAGACACAATCTACATTTTAGGTTAGCTAGGTATAGGCTCCACCCACTTAGCCAGCTGCAAAATTCTTGGTGATATTCAAAAAGACAATAATAAAATACAAACTAAATACATTTCTACATTATTGTTCCAGCTGGATCCTGGAAGCTGTTCGGAAAACACAGATGAGACCAAATACTCTGGAGATGTCACAATGACCAGCCCTAAATCAAAGTTTCATTCAAGGGATATGAAGAAGGAGCTCATTACGTATGTTTGTTACATTTTTTTCCTTCTATCTGTGACAGAATATTTGCAAACAAGGCCATTGAGCCTCTTATTTAAAGTGTAACTGTAGGAAAAATTAAAAATGAAATAACAGTTTTATTACCTATTGTTCTTGACAGTAGATCTGTTACACATATTTGTTTAAATAATGCTCAGATAAGGAAAGCACAGTCGGTAACCTTCGCAGTAAATGCTGTAAGAAAAGTCATTTTGGCATTTGATTGTCATTTTTGCTGCTAAAAAGAAAAATAAACAAGATGTCATATTTTTTGGCATGATTTTGGGTGCCATAATCTAGATTACCCTTTGCTGGATTTTGAAGAAAAACTATAGATAGAGAATGATAGCACAATAATGTTGTATTGTATTGGTAAAACTGCAAACTCTCTGTACTGTGGACTTTGATATTACTTCTGCTTATTTGGAGTGGCTGACATTCTTTGTACCCAAATGCCATTGAACGTAAAGTTACTTATATTTGATTTACACTGAAATTGGTTAAAGCTTAGGCAAAAAAAATTGGATTTGCTTATTTGTTCGTAGCTGTTAATCAGAAGTTACAGAGGAGCTAAATTTACCTTTTTTCCAACGGTGCTCATCCCTCACCAGTGCCAGCATCTTCTTCTATGTGCCAATCTTCGATCATCTTCAGTGGCCAGGGTGGCATGATGTAAATCCTGATCATGTGCAGGAGTCAGTAATTTCAGCACACAGGGACTATTCCAATGATGTAAGCCAGAGGTTTCCAAATTTTCTAAACAAAGGGCCGGTTTATTGTGCTTCAAACTTTAGGAGGGCCAGACTGTGGCCAGCGGGACTAGAAAATGTCTTGGTGTCAGTGGGAGTAAACAGTGTCCCTTTTTTGGTATTAGGGGGAGGAATAGCGCCCCATTGTTGGTGTCAGTGAAAGGAATAATGCCCCATCCTTGGCGTCAGTGAGAAATAATGCCCCAATGTTGGTGTCAGGGGGAAGAAACTATGCTCCATTGTTGCTGACAGTGGGGTGAAAAGTGGCCCAAGGGCTGGATAAAAGCAAGCAAAAGGCCGCATATGGCCCCCGAGCCACAGTTTGGGATCCACTGATGTAAGCTGAGCTGTACATGGACAGCTCAGTTTACATGCCAGAGAATGGCATAAGGTGTATTTTATTGCAAACGAGACATCGCATATTTCTTCTGCAATACTGAGCCAACCCTGCTTGCAGTTTGTGACAGCGGAACTTTATTTTTGTTTTAACTGCCATTTTCTGATTGGTCTGAAAGCACATCTTAATGCACAAATAAAACACATATGCAGTGCATAACAACACATAGATGCCTCATAATGAAAGTAAATTGTGCTGAGCTGTGTAAGTTGGGCTGCCATTCAAAAGCATGTAACATGTTGCAACACACAGAAGTAACACAATGAAGTGCAATGTGAAAGGGCCTCTAAGCATTATTTTAAATGGGCAATTCAAAATTAAAAGTGGAACTTCATGGCAAGGAGTTAATTTCTGCCACCAAACTAGGCGTCCGCATTGTAAGATTTCCCTACACCTCTTGTACCTGTAAAACATTTTAGACTTCTAATCTTTCTGACTTGGTGATGATAAATAGAAAACATCTGCCTTGTGGGGACAAAGACAGCAATAAAAACCTGATAGGGGTTTTCCCTAATCTATCAAACACAAACAAAAATAAAAACATTTTTGCCTAGGGTGGAAATGATATCAAATGGGTCCACATTGGTCATGTCTACATTCTGAAAATTCTGTAGATGTGGAATGGACCTCTTATGGAAGGGATGGAGAGCTTACTGTACCTCTCCTTATTTTATGTAAAATGCTCCTGAAATGAGTTTGGTTTGTACAAGAGGGCTAACATGACAGCAGATGTACTTTTTGCTAAAGCCATACTCCTGACAGTCTATAAGTCTACCACAATATCTATTTTCTAGTTTAAAGCAGATTTCCAGTCAGTTTTGTGGTTATTAACTTTCCTAGCGGTAATCCCGAGTGTGGCTCGGGGTTAATTTTCAGTACCAAAAGCGGTAACCCCGAGCCACACTCGGGATTACACTGTAGTGTAACTTACCTTGTCCTGTGATCCCCGTTGTCCTTCTGCTGTTTCCTCTGGCCATGTCCATCCGTCTTCTGGGTTCTCTTCCCTGCGAGCATCGCGAAAAAAAGTAAAAACATGACATACACACAATACATTGTAATCTGTTAGGATAACATTACTGTTTCAAACCATTTCACCTAAATTTTGTCCCTAGTGCTTTGTCCTGTACCCTGCCTGCACTTTTACCATTCTTTCTGCCTGGAAACTTGAGAACGTCCATGGCATCCAAAAAGCATTCCTTTAGGTCAAAAGCGGTTTTAGACCAGCTAGAAAACAGTGGTAGTAAATTAGAATCACTCACAGAATTGAGAGATTGTGATTTGTGAGGAAATTCGTCATCAGACACTGAAAGTGACGACAGCAACGATTCTGCGACTTTGCTCAGTGATGTGCGAACTTGGCGCTCTATTTCAAATTTCAGTGTTTTTGGTTTGATTACATTATTGAATTAAATTTATTATTATTATATTATTTTTTTTTATAATTATTTGTTATATTATAATTTATGATTTTGTGTTTCAAACTTTATCATACCCGGGATGTTTATTAGACTCTTGTATGGACAGATTTAAGTGAGATATTCCTAAGAATTGCAGGCCTACAATATAAAACAACAAATTTCCATGCAAAACAATGTACTGCTTTGACATTCAAAAATATTGACATAATCAGACTGCCAGGGAGGTTAAAAGTCAGCAACTACAAAAACTGTAGTTGTTTACTTTTAATAAAAACACACGCTCACCTGTCCCAGGGTCCAGCAATGTGCTCACCCTCGCCGTCCCTTATTTGCCTCTTCTCTCTCCGGCGTCGGCCTCAGAGCTGTAGGCACCAGGCTGTGACAGCTTGCGGCTTCAGAGACGGGTGCCCACTGCACATGCACAATTCCTGCTGTGCATTTTCATTGGTCCAGCAGTCTACTGGGACCTGTGATGGTTCCCAGGAGACTGTGGGAGGTAGCAGGGGGGCTGAATGTCCGGCTCACTTTGCCGCAGCAACCTGAGCCAAAAGTGGGAGCGGGTACCTGTCAAAAACAGGTATCCGCTCCCTCCCAAAAGGTGAAGGGGGGAGGAGGCAAATAAGCGGAACTTCTGCTTTTGAGTGGAACTCCGCTTTAAAGATAGCATTAGCTGTAGAAAGTGCTACAGTAAATTATATTCAGAGTCACTCTATTACTATCCAAGATGTGACAACAACATTACAGAGGGGGTTATTTACTAAAACTGGAGAGTGCAAAATCTGATGCAGCTCTGGATAGAAACCAATCCGCTTCCAGGTTTTATTATCAAAGCTTAGTTGAACAAAGTAACTGATTGGTTACTATGCACAGCTGAACCAGATTCTGAGTGCACCAGTTTTAGTAAATCTACCCCAGAGTTTCTAGGAATAGAGGTGGTTTCTAGGAACAGCAACTTCTGAACAAGTTTTCTTTCTGAAAAATGTGCACTAAGCTAAAAGATATACCTAAAAGCACAGTTGTGAATTTCTGCATACATTTTATATTTCCATTCATGAATTTAAACTTATTTTCCCATTACATTTTATTTAAATTAATTTTTATAATTTATATTCACTCAAAAAGAGAGAACATACATTTTTTGGAAAATGCCTGCAGTTTATTGCCATCTTGTGGATATGCAGAAGTACTGCATTCTTCCTGAGACCACTACTTACACAATACTATTTATTCCAGATAAATTTACAAGTACATACAAATAACATCAGGAGTATTCATTTCTAATGAAACAAATATCTCTAATATCTGTAGTACTGTAAGCTATTTACAGTACCTTAATTTAATTTGCATAGTCCTTATACTTGACTTATATTAACATTTTTAAACATTGTGGGTTTCTAAACACAAACATACAGAAATAGCATATGCATTTTTAAAGGATAGTATAATCTTAGAGGCTGAAAAGTGAAAAAAAATTTGAATGATTAAGGTTTTCTCTAGTTTCAATGAATCAGCTACTAAATGTCAAACTTTTTAGGCCTATCCTAAAATTCCACTCTTTTTTATATGAAAATGAGGCTTGATATCAAAATGTCTTTATTGCCGTTGGTTATTATTTAAAATTTCTAATTAAAAACAATGTGCAGTATGGTATATAAAAGTTCCTATATATTTAGAAATAGTGATGGGCCGAACACCCCTCTGTTCGGTACACTTGTGAACATTTGAACCTAACTAAGGTTTGACCACAAACTTCAAACTTAATGCAGGTCCATAGGACTTGAATATGTAAATTCAAAAGTGCCCATTTGAAGGCTTATATGCAAGTTATTGGCATTAAAAAGCGGTATGGAGACTCCAGTACTGCCCTGAGGGACATGAATCAGTGAAAAAAAAATTCAAAAATTACTGTTTTTGAAAAACCCCTGAAAAGTTCCTTTAAATATCATACCTGGGGGTCTCCTTAAACTACCTGCAAATTTGCACATCTATACAATGTATAGAACCTGCTGCAGCAGAACTGACATTTTTAAAAAAAAAAAAAAAAATACCAGTGTGGGTTAATCCATACCAGACCCTATAAGTCTGGTAAGAAGTTTGGAAGGGACCCCCACAGTAAAAAAAGATGACTTTTAAGGGGAGCCCCACCCCAAAAAAATGGGGGGAAAAAGTGTGGGGTCCTTCCTCAATTCCTACCAGATCTTTAATCCAAGCAAAGGCCTGGCAAGCCAGAAAAGGGGGGGGGGGGGGGGGGGGGGGGGGCGAGGACCCCCCTCCTAAACTGTACCAGGCCACATGCCCTCAACATTGGGAGGTGCTTTGGGGTAGGGGGGCTCCCCCCCCCCCAAAAGCACCTTCTCCCCATGTTGATGGGGACAAGTGACTCTTCCCCACAACCCTGGGCTGTGGTCGTGGATGTCTGCAGCGGGTAACTTATTGGAATCTGGAAGCCCCTTTAACAAGGGGCCCCCAAATCCCAGCCCCCCTCCTTAGTGAATAAGTACCCCATATCTATTCACCACAAAAGTGTAAAATGTGAATAAAACCGCAACAACAGTTTTATACAAGTCCTTTAAAAAAAAAAGGCAAAAAAATGGTTCCATCATTGTAATCCATCGTCAATTACGGCATCAAAATAAAAAAAAACCCACGCCCGTCATCCCGTCCCACCCGCTGAGCACTCACCGCTATCTGACATTTGCCGGTCAGATGTAAACAATTGGGCAGAGCTAGCAGTAATGTCACTGCTAACTCCACCCAATTGTACTGTGATTGGCCCAAGCATTGCATCTGACCCACCGAATTCCCTTACCATTTGTGTGTTCACCAAACACATGAACAGCCGATGTTCGAGTCGAACTTACATTTCAAACATCAAGGACTACTATTTAGATTATCTATTTAGAAATCTATTGGCTTATGGAAATGGAAAGAGAGAACAATAACACTTATAGCAAACAACAAGAAATCAGCTTTTATCAGTCTGATCACTAGAAGCAGCAAAGAACTGATACTTACTACAATGTACATTTAAGTTCTCTTTGTTATTGAATTGTCTCATTAAAATTCAAGAACTAGGCACCACTGATCTGCCTAATGTTCCTGTTCCTATACTTGTTGTCCTTCCCAGTGAGAAAAACGTGTGTTGTGGAGGGCAAGAACATTTATAAATATTTAATTTGGAACTTCCAGCCCTCCTTCAATTTCTAACTATAGAAAGTCTTCTAGATTTATTTTAAACAACATCTGTCCTCTCTCCTGCCTGTCACTCCTACCCCTAGCATTGGTGGTCAGGCACTACAGCTGAGTTTGTGTTCTTCACCTATGGCAGCCCCCTTTCCCATTAGGCAAGCAGGCCTACTGGAACTCACTTGGCCCCGGGTCTCTTACACACTGCTATAGTGCCTGGCCACCACACTGGGGCAGGCTAAGTTCAGCAAACAGGTACTTGCAGTTGGCAGATAGGTCCAATGGCAGTCTAGGTTCAGGGCAGAAAACGTTCAGAGAGTTGTCAGGGTCAAATCCGTGGTCAAAAGGCAGCCTGAGTTCAGAGAATAGTCCAATCCAAGGTCAACAACAATGGAATCAAAACTAGCTGGCAGTGCTGGGATTATGCAATGGAAAAGGTCAAGGTATGGGAACAAGGTAGGCAAACAGGGAGCTTGAAGCACGTGTTGCAAACACTATCACATGCATGACACTAAGGGCATGGCAAGTTCAAAACAGGTTTAGACTCCACCCGTAGACTGTTTCTACACCAGTCACCCTGCAGGTGGACAGTGAGACAGGTCGAGTGCAGCTCAGCCAAAACTGGGATGCTGGAATGAGACCAGCAGCTGCCGTGGAACAGGAGCATTGACAGCATTGCCCCATAATTTCCTCTGGATGTGCAGAGGAGCTTGTATGAAGTGAGATGAGAAGTGCAGCACGGTGAGAGCCATGGTGAGCAATTTTTAGCTAGGACCCCAGTGGGGAAAAGCACCAGGGGCATAGGGGAGCAAAATTCTCACCCTAACTGCCACAAATACATTCTGACAATTCTGCCAAGTCACTGGAAAAGCTAGAACAGCATATATTTTAGGCTATGCTTGGGGGGCAGGTAGATTTTTATTTATGGAGGTTATTGTGTTAATGCACTTTAACAAATACAGTTAGGAGCAATGTATAGAATACAGATACTGTAGCTTGTTGGCTTACATCCTATGTTTTGCATGTGACGTGCCTGATCAGATCATCCATAATATGACAATTCATGGTTAATAAAACATACAGATGAGAGACAGTTATACTTGCGGTTGGGTGTGGAGATTTTTCTCCATGATGAAAATTTTATAAAGCTGATTAAAGACTGTCCCTTTTTCTTAAAGCACTGAAAAAAAGTCATTATAGTTTAGAGTAGTCTTTAAAGTTTGGATTGAACCTATAAACTATTTTGCTGTTATTAACCACCTCTATTTGTCTCTTTGGTTACAAGAGAAGTATGACCAAAGCTCTTTTGGCCATACTTCTCTTGTGGGTCCCAGAAGTACTCTTACTATCATTCTCCTGTGACCCAGTGTAACTGGCTGTTACCCACTATAAGATGACAGAGCAGAGCTGCTATAGGCTCTGGAAGGATCCCAACAATATTGTCGGGATCCATGTAGCTGTCTAATTAACAGTTGACTCTGCCTCTCAGCAGGCGGCTTAGAGCTGTGACCAGCTTTGCCTGCCCCCTCCATAGCTCAGTACTCCAGTGACTTCTGAAGAAGCACAGGAGAGAGCGGTGACTGAAAGTTGCCACTCTCTACTCTGAGCAGACTAAGAACTTAGCAATCAGTGATCATGTAATCGCTCAGTTCTTAGTCTGCCAACATGGAATGGCTGCAGCATCATTCTGATGCTGCAGTATAGAGGCGAGTACTGATATTTTTTTGACCCATACTTCTCTTTTAAGTATGACTTGGTTAGTACTGGCCTGACATTTCTGACTTCTAGGTTAAGGCTTGACCACTTTTTTCCAGCCTGTCTAATCAGATTGCCTCCAGTAGCCCTAAAGTGATCTTATTGAATAGATGGAATGGCTGTTGCCAGTGCCTATCCCAGAAATCAACCCCTAGTTAAAAAGTAAAACTACATGAGCAGGGTAAGCTTTTGTAGTTTTCCTGGCAAATAAATGTTGGAGCAGACACTATTGAGGAGATTTACTAAAACTGGAGCACTCAGAATCTGGTGCAGCCATGATAGCCAAAAAGCTTCTAGCTTCAGCTTGTTAAGTTAAGCTTTGATAATAAAACTTGGAAGCTGATTGGTTTCTATGCAGAGCTGCAGCAGATTGTGCACTCTCCAGTTTTAGTAAATCAACCCCTACAGATGGCACTACACATATAGATTTATTTCGATCAGTCAACAGAGTCCACCATCCACACTATACAGCACTGATAGACAAATCTTCTGCTACAGCTATTGTATACGGACAAGTTTTACAGGAGGTTGTCAGAGTACCCAAACAGTGGTTGCATTCGAATGGATACAGCCACTGTTCGGCTGCCAATTTTCCATGCATCTTCTTCAATTTTTTATTTGAAAGGTGCTGCACAGGATGGTGCTGACATGGCCACCCACAAAGCAAATGTATTTAGCAACAGGCTGCAATGTGATTAGTGTATGGTCAGCTTACGTAATACCTGCTCTTAGACAGGACTTTCAGTTTGAATTGTTTAAAATTGATCACCATTGTTTATTGTTTATCAGCTAATAAAAACTGGGACTATTATTAAAACACAATATAGCAATGTCAAGAAGCCAAGCATCTATTCTTGTGTTTTTTTTTACAGTTGTCCAACCCCAGGATGTGATGGAAGTGGTCATGTAACAGGAAACTATGCTTCTCATCGCAGGTACAAAACCAAAGGAAGCCACAATTAAAAATGTGTTACTTTCAGTCTTTTACTGTTATGCCTTAGAAGCAATTTCAGCTGAAAAAAACTATACAACTAAAACATAAATGGTAATGTACGGGTAATTCTCTCCATCTACCTCTTATCCTATATACATTGCATAATAAAAGGTTTAAAATATTTCACTTTTACAAGAATTCTGAAGCGTTAGGTTCAGATCTGCCTTCAGAGAACACTTTGCTGTGTAGATCTTCCTGCATAGAATAATAAGGCAGTCAGCTGTTAGCAAGCCTACTGTGTAATGATTACCTGTCAGCTCATTTTTAGTTTGTCTATATATTTTCTGTACAATTCCAATTCTGCATTTTGAACATATACTATATCTTTATATTTTAAATATTTATTTTAAAGAAAATTCCAGGGTATACTTTGTTGTTAAATACAAAAAACAACAAAACTAGTACTTTATAATTACAATTAAATGAGACAGCAAAAAAATATAAATTTATCGAGGTAAAGGACAGATAGAAGGAGTGACAAATGGCTTCCTGGTATATACTTAGTACATACAGTTGCAAGAAAAAGTATGTGAACCCCTTGGGATTACGTGGAGTTTTGCATGAATTGGGCATAAAATGTGCTCTGAACGTCATCTAAGTCACAACAATAGAAGAACACAGTCTGCTGAACATAATACTACACAAACATTAGATGTTGCCATGGTTTAATTGCACATAACATGTAAACACAGTGCAGGGAGGAAAAAGTATGTGAACTTTTGGACTTAATAACTGGTTGACCCTCCTTTGGCAGCAATAACCTCAACCAAATGTTTCCTGTAGTTGCAGATCAGACCTGCACAATGATCTGGAGTAATTTTGGACCACTCCTCTTCACAAAACTGTTTCAGTGTAGCAATATTCTTGGGATGTCTGGTGTGAATCTCTCTCTTAAGGTCATGCCACAGCATTTCAATTGAGTTGAGGGATGGGACTCTGACTGGGCCACTCCAGAAGGCATATTCTGTGCTGTTGCAGCCATTGTTTTGTTGAATTACTTGTATACTTTGAGTCATTGTCCTGTTGCATCACCCATCCTCTGCGGAGCTTCAGTTGGCGGACAGATGGTCGTACGTTTTCCTGCAAAATGCCTTGATAAACTCTGGAATTCATATTCCCATCAATGACAACAATCCGTCCAGGCCCTGAGGCAGCAAAGCAGCCCCAAACCATGATGCTCCCTCCGCCGTGTTTTACAGTGGGGATGAGGTTTTGATGTTGGTGTGCTGTGCCTTTTTTTCTCCACACATAGTGTTGTGTGTTCTTCCCAAACAACTCAATCTTGGTTTCATCTGTCCGCAGTATATTTTGCCAGTAGTGCTGTGGAACATCCAGGTGCTCTTTTGCAAACTTCAAACGTGCTGCAATATTCTTTTTGGACAGCAATGGCTTCCTCCGTGGTGTCCTCCCATGTACTCCATTCTTGTTTAATGTTTTTCCTTATTGTAGATGTGTCAACAAAAATGTTAGCATGTGCCAGAGATTTCTGTAGGATTTAGCTGACACTCTGGGATTCTTCTTTACCTCATGCAGCATTCTGCGCTGTGCTCTTGCAATCATTTTTTACAGGACTACCAGGCCTAGGGAGAGTAGCAACAGTGCTAAACTTTCTCCATTTGTAGACAGTCTGTCTTACCGTGGACACATGAACATCAAGGCTTTTGGAGATACTTTTGTAACCCTTTCCAGCTTCATGCAAGTCAACAATTCTTGATCGTAGGTCTTCTGAGAGCTCTTTTCTGCGAGGCATGGTTCACATCAGACAGTGCTTCTTGAAACCAGTAAACCCAAAACAGGTGTGTGTTTTTTTTAAGGGCAGGACAGTTGTCAGCAACACATCCAATATCATCACACTGATTGGAGTCAAGGTTGGCTCACTCCTGGCTCCAATTAGCTCTGGGAGAAGTTATTAAGCTAGGGCCTCACATACTTTTTCCTCCCTGCACTGTGAATGTTTACATGTTATGTGCAATTAAACCATGGCAACATCTAATGTTTGTGTGGTTTTATGTTCAGCAGACTGTGTTCTTCTATTGTTGTGATTTAGATGAGGTTCAGAGCACATTTTTTCCCCAATTCATGCAAAACTCCACGTAATCCCAAGGGGTTCACATACTTTTTCTTGCAACTGTACCAGGAAGCCTTTTGGCACTTCCTTCTATCTGTCTACTCTGTCTATTGAGCCTCTCAAAGCAGAAGTCTGGACTAAATGAATAATGTAAAAGTTAACAAAAAAACCAATATAAAAAAGGGTCAGACTCGATGGACCACTTAGTTTATTTTCCACCATCACTTTTCTATGTTTCTATGTTGTCTAAATACAAGGGCTGTATTAGATGATTTTTTGCATTCTTTTTTCCAGAAATAATCCAGCATGAAACAACTCCTGCCTTTGCCTCTGTCTAGGTTTTTCCTGTAATAAGACCTATTACTACTGCTCTCTCTCCTGGTCCTGTATCCACCCCCTGTGATTTTCTGCAGGTAGTGGATGGATCTACTTGATCCCTCCCACAGCTCTGCATGCATAACCTTTGTGGATACTGAAGAACATATATAGGAAAGTTTTTGTGCCTGAAGTTTAGCTTTAAAGAGCACAGTAATAATCATATTTACCACATTTGAAATGTTATAAAAGTAGACTTCTCATTGGTATATTCATAGCAGATGTTGTAGGACTGCATTGGGCAGGTATTCCAGCACAGTCCCACTGCATGGACAAGGTAAAATGTCCTTTGTGCCTGGTTCACACCACGGGCACAGTATGCTGAGAAAAGTACTGCAGCAGTACTTTTTCTCAGTGCAGCACAGTAGGAGGCAATCTGCTGCCTCACACTGCATGGCTGGCAATTGAACTTTATGAGATGCTTTTGTGACATCTCAATCAAGTTTGTTTTTGAAAAAAGGAAACAGTGTACTTCTCTGAGCTCAGCACATCTTTACTTTGTTGATCTCAGCTGGATCGCACTGCACACCAGCCTGGTTTGAACCATCCCTCATTATCTACAGTGCAAACATTGGGCTCAGTATCAGACTCTAAGGCTGTTCTATCTCTTACTTGAGTTCCTTATAGGCATTCCGCCATTTAAGATAGCTAGTAAAAATATAACGTATCACTTCATCATTATCAACACATATTTTATTGAAGACACATTTGTGTACAGTTGTGCTCAAAAGTTTGCATACTCTGGCAGAAATCGTGAAATTTTGGCTCTGATATTGAAAATATGACTGATCATGCCATAAAGCTGTCTTTTATTTAAGGATAGTGATCATATGAAGCCCTTTATTATCACATAGTTGGTTGGCTCCTTTTTAAATCATAATGATAACAGAAATCACCCAAATGGCTTTGATGAAAAGTTTACATAACCTGGAATGTTTGGCCTTGGTACAGACACACAAGGGTGACACACATGGGTTAAAATGACAATTAAAGGTTAATTTCCCACATCTGTGGCTTTTAAATTGAAATTAGTGTCTGTGTATAAATAGTCAATGAGTTTGTTAGCTCTCATGTTAGTACACTGAGCAGGCTAGGTACTGAGCCATGGAGATCAGAAAAGAACTGTCAAAAGAACTGCATAACAAGTTAATGGAACTTTATAAAGATGAAAAAGGATATATAAGATGTAAAAAGCTATCACATACCTGGTGATGGAGGCCAATAGAGAGAGGGCTTCCCTTGCGGCTAAGTTCCAGACTCCCCTGAGAGTGGGACAATGGGAGTCAGGCCCAAAGTTGCACAGGTCGCCTGTAGGAGTGCTGGTTGGTGGTCCACTCACAAGCACAGCTGGTGCACGGGGATAGGTCTGCAGACTGGAGGCGCCTGTGCATGGTATGCAAGCCTTCCAGGATTTGGATGTTTGCTGGTTAGTCAGTTTGAGCCAAGGTCAGGTACCGGGTGGGAAACAGAACAGACGTGGTCAGGTGGGATAGCCGTGGTCATACATGGAGGAGCGAGAGAGAGCGAGTATCCTTTAGCTAACCCGAGGTCAGATCAGGGGGGTCAGTAGAGCAGACAGGTCCAAGTACAAGCCGGGTCGGAATCAGGAAGTCACATGCCACCACAGGAACAAAACAGGAACAAACCAGCAACCAGAGGAAGTGATGAGCCTCCTTATAAAGGCTGTCTGGCACCAGACTGAGGCTGATGTGTCCTTTTGCGGCCATGTAGAGTATTAGCAGAAACGCCAGAACTTCTGCTGTGGACAGGACCCTGACAAAAGCCTTGAATATGTCAATCAGTGCTGTTCAATCACTTATTAAGAAGTAGCAAATTCATGGATCTGTTGATTTCAAACAACTACACCGATCACTATTCTTAAATAAAAACAGTTTTTTGGCATGATCAGTCATTGTTTCAATATTAATACCAAAATAATACCAATATTAATACCAAAATTTCACAAATTCTGCAAACTTCTGAGCACAACTGTAGATATACTTGTGTCTGAGACAACATGTATATGGACACCATTCAATAGAAGCATACTAGGAAGTCAAAATATTTAGTATCTAAAACAAAGACACATCAACAAAGATACTTTAATATGATTTAATATGATTTAATCATTGTCATTTGCAGTGTTTCTGGCTGCCCACTAGCTGACAAAACTCTGAAGTCTCTGATGGCTGCAAACTCCCAGGAACTCAAGTAAGTGTCTCATTCAAGATACAGATCACACTGTGAGATTTGCATCATGCAGATTTTCTGGTAAAGTAAACCAGTACCACACCTGGGTAATTCAAACTGAGAAAAGGTCAGTGGAAGCTGCAAGTTAAAACAATCAGTAGATCCAGACATACAGGCACCTGAGTTTGCAATCAAATCTCAAGTCTTCCTATGAAAATGGAGCTTGGCCCCATCATTGCAACATCCTGGGACACTCATTGGGTCATTGAGGTCTCCCATTGTAAATAATGATAATTGGGATGCTGGAGAGGCATTAGGGGGTGCGACCAAGCTCAACTTTTACAGAGACAATTGGGATTTATAAGTAACTTCAGCTGCTTATATGTCTGGATCTTCTGATATTTTTTACTTACAATTTTCACCCCTGGCAAAATATAAGCAAATTGTGTAAAAAAAAAAAAAATACTGATCACTTCCCCAAAGTAGTACAGTGTTACTATGGTAGTATTGTGCTACTTTGGTCAAAGTGAAATACGAAAAAAAAATCTTAAAAAAAAAAAAATTTAAAAAAAATTAAAAATAAAATTTTTTAAAAAAATTTTTCATACTGTCACCAGTCAGTGTCCCTGATCACCGCCATGCCAGTTATATGATGATGCTGTACTGCACTGGCAGCAGTATGTGAAAAAAAAAATTGTGACTTTTTTTTTCATTTTCCGAAAAATTATGACAAAAAAATACAACTTCAAAAAACTCGCCATGCCTCTTATGAAGTACGTCGGACTGTCTACTTTGCAAAAAGGGGTCATTTGGGGGATATCTGTACTGTTCTGACATTCTTGGACTTCAAGAAATTAGATTGGCCGTCAGTACTTCAGGATTGATCAATTTTCAGATCTATACCATAGTTTGTGAACTCTATAACTTTCCTACAAACTAAAAATACATCCTAATTTTGGTTATTTTCACCAAAGACATGTAGCAGAATACATTCTGGCCTAAATTTATGAAGGGCAATTATTTATTTGCAAACTTTTATGACAGAAACAAAGAAAAACTTGGGTTTTTTTTTTCAAAATTTTTTTTTTTTTTGTTAATTTAGCACAAAATATAAACCCCAGTGGTTATTAAATACCACCAAAAGAAAGCTCTAGTTGTGTGAAGAAAATGATATAAAATTTTAGTTTGGGTACAATGTTGTATGACCGCGCAATTGTCATTCAAAGTGTGAGAGCGCTGAGACCTGAAAAATGGCCTGGGAGGGAATGGGGTAAAAGTTCCCGGTATGGAATTCGGTTAAGCAAATGGAACAAGTGATGATTATTATTTCTTCAGGTGTCCAACACCAGGCTGTGATGGATCTGGACATGTTACTGGAAATTATGCATCTCACAGAAGGTAAAATACATAACTAGGTGCATGATTTAATCTACCAATCGGTTGTTATATATACATATTTATTATGTTAATTACTTCCATAGTTTATCAGGGTGTCCAAGAGCCAGAAAAAGTGGGGTCAAGGCATTTCCAAGCAAAGAAGATAAAGAAGACCCAGAACTTAAGTAAGCAAACATATTTATAATGGTTTTAATATCTTTTTTTTTCTTGTTCATATTTAAGAGTGATGAGAATGGTGTTCTGGAATATTCTCTCTTTCCTTTCTCCAGTCCCTCTGTTGCAAATCCTGTTAACCACTTCAGCCCCAGAAAGTGTTACCCCCTTCATTACCAGGCCATTTTCTGCTATTTAGCTTATGTTACTTTAACTGGTAATTGTGAGGTCCTGCAATGCTGTACCCAAGTAAACTTTGTAAATATTTTTTACACAAATAGAGCTTTATTTTGATGGTATTTGATCACCACTGGTTATTTTATTTTTTATTATATGAATGAGTAAAAATTGAACATATTTGAAAAAAACAATATTTTTGTCTTTCTGCTATAAAAACATATCCAATAAATTTTTATTTTAAATTTAATTTCTTCATGAATTTAGGCCAAAATGTATTCTGTTTTTGGTAAAACAAAAACCCAATAAGTGTATATTGATTGTTTTTTGTAAAAGTTATAATGTCTACAACTATGGTATATACACTGGAATTTTTTTTTTATACTGCTAATGGTGGTGATCAGCAACCTATAGTGGGACTGTGATAGTGCAGCGGGCAATCTGACACTAACTGACACTTGATGGGAACTGACTGACACTGACATCACCAGTGACACTTATACAGTGATCAGGGATAATACTATACACTGTCACTATACTAATTACACTGGCTGGGAAGGGGTTAACATCTTGGGGCAACACAAGTGTGTACCTAAAAAGTGTTAATGAATGTATTATGCACTGCTTTTTGCTAAAAATCTCTTTGCTCTTTCTCCTCGTTTTGCAGGGAGAAGATGCAAAGAGATTATTCCCTCTGTACAGATCCCTGTGTTGTTTGTCAACACAGGGCTCTGGGCTGTGATTGAAAACAGCCAATAAGTAGGTCCCAGGTGTATAATCACAGCAGGAGTCGGTGGGTGGGGGCACACGCACGCCCTGTACCTGGAAGAGGCCAGCAATGTACAGGCACGTCGTTGTGCCTGTACAGACCACCCACCCACAGCACATTATGGGTGGGTGGTCCTTAAGTGGTTAAAGGTGGAAAGGACATGGTTGTGTAGAGAGGTTGGACTTTGCTTGCATGTGTGTGTACACCTTTAAGAAAAACTATAAGTGAAAAAATAGCTGCTGCCTCAAATATTTTACAAGAAACCCATATATAGTCCAAACAAAAGAAAACATGCTCACAAGTATAACTCATATCATCAATACAAAAATCCTTAAATCCTAAAACAAAAAAATTTAATCTTTTCAATAATATAACAAGTAACCTATCTGATCAGTATCACTCCTCATAAAAGTTCTTTTAATCTTGTTTCACTACCACTTGTGTCCAAAAATACATCTGTTCATTTAAACCTATCACCTATGTAAAGCAGCTCACCATTATAATATCACTTCTATTTCTAATAAACTTACAAAAAAAAACACCTGAAGCCACAAAAGATGTGACTCACGATGACAAAATGGTAGACTCAAATGGTAATTTGGAACTCATCTGCCTCTGATTCATACAGAAATGATATGTTGCAATGGAGGTTGATTTACTAAAGGTAAATAGCTTGTTCACTTTCCAAGGGAATTTGCCCCAGAACGTAATGAATGCGGTGAAATGTCCTCTTTTTTCTTTTTCTATAAATCAGAATGAACTTTTATTGAGTAGCTCCAGAGCAGCCGAACAATAATACAGTTTGTAAAAATAGGCAGTAAAAAAAGAAAGATGGTAAAGAATTGCAGCTATAAGACTGAGGTAGTGTAGATGCTATCAAGGTTATCTCAGCATTACCAAAATATTGTACATAAACCATGGGTCTGTGTTTCTTAAGAACTATACATCGATTTCAAGTGCTTCCAGTAAGTATTACACAATTCTCCCTGTAGCCAAGTCAAGTGGACATAAACCAGAAGTGTCCAACCAGTTTGATCATGCTTTCTCAAATACTGTATATTAGGACAACCTCTATGTTGACATATACATTAATTCAAGTCATACATGTGTCTAGCCCACTCTATATGGGTAGAGGGATTAGCTGCCTTCCAGTGTTGCAAAAGAAGTTTAAAAGCTTGGAAAAGAGCTGGCCTCTCTGGTATGCTGCTGTACCTCAAGATCATCTAAAATTCCCAGTATACACTGCTTTGGGTCAGATTGAATACTGCTTTGAAATACTGTATTCAAAGTTTTAATAACCTCCACCCAATGTCTATGGAGCTTAGGAAATCATCAAAGCAGGTGAATCAGATCTCTATTGCATTTTCCACACAGCGGATTCTTCAATATTCCAATTTGAAAAAGTCTCAAAGGTATATAATGAGTACACAGAAGTATGTATAGCTGTGAGAGCTCTGGAAAACATCAAAGGGAACTCAGTGGAATCAATTTCAGTACTGTTTCCCACTGATCCTCAACTAGGGGTCCCACATCTCATTCCCATCTCTCTGCCACTTTACAGGGATAACCCTCAAGAAAAGCAACAAGAAGCATAGCATAGTGTAGCAGAGTGCTGGTTGCTTTAAATCTTACACAGCACCTGCAGCTGTTGCTACAGCTGTGACATGCTGCAATTGTTTAGCTTTGTCCTTTTTTTTTGCATAAGTATATAGGCGGGGAACATTTTTATAGGTCTGTTAATGTGTAGAGACTCCAACCCAGAGGACCAGAAGGTATATCCTTTGATTTCATTAACCACTTGCCCTCCAGAGGATTTACCCCCCTTCCTGACAAGGCCATTTTTGTGTGATACAGCGCTGTGTTACTTTAACTGACAATTGCGCGGTCATGCAATGCTGCACCCAAATGAAATGTATGTCCTTTTTTTTCCACAAATGGAGCTTTCTTTTGGTGGTATTTGATCGCCTCTGCATTTTTTAATTTTTTGCACTATAAACAAAAAAATACCCAACAATTTTGAAAAAAAAAACAATATTTCCTATTTATTATTCTTATTTATTATTTTCATATTGTATCATAAAATGTAGACCAAAATGTATTCTGCTACATGTCTTTGCTAAATAAAAAACCCAATATGTGTAAACTAATTGGTTTACATTAACGTCATAGCATCTACAAATAGTGGTATATAATGGAATTTTTTTTTTTAATACTAATAATGGCAGCAATCAGCTACTTTTAGCAAGACTGTGGGACTGCGGCAGGCATTCTGACACTGGGGGGGGGAACTGACTAACTGTCATTGACATTCCCAGTGACACTAATACAGTGATCAGTGCTAATAAAAAGCACTGACACTATACTGACACTGGGCATGAAGAGGTTAACATCTGGGGCGATCAAAGGGTTAAGTGTGTACTGTATGTGCTACATTCATACATACACATACTAGGGACAATTTAGACAGGATCCAATTCACCTACCAGCATGTCTTTGGCGTGTGGGAGGAAACCCACGCAGGCACAGGGAGAACATGCAAACTCCAGGCAGGAGGTGCCGTGGCTGGGATTCGAACCAACGACCCTAGTGCTAACCATTTAGCCACTGTGCTGCCCTAGTGGTATTACAATTGAGATGCATTCTACACAATATGTTTTCCATGTACATATAATAGAGTCTATTTGGCACCTTTTCAATGTGAGTTTATCTATGAAATAAATAAAGTTTGCAAAGTGGTTTTTCACTATGAGGAATTTGCTTTCTCTTCTGATGCATATTGCAACAAATGATTTCTAGATGAATAAAAGTGGCAGATGTTCCTATGTTTTTTAATGAGCCGAAGATTCTGACTTCCTGAGTCACAATGTTGGCGATTTAAAGCATTTTTTGACCTTCCTATAAATAGCGGTCATATCATAACAATGAGCTGCTTTCCATAGATGGTGGGTTGAAATGCACAGCTTTATTTTTGGATATGAGTGGCGGTGAAGTAACAATAAAGGGGCTTTTATTTGCACTAATTATATAAAGAATGTTACTTGATATATGTTTGAAAAGATTTTGTATTTAGAATTTTTCTATTAACGATATGAGTTGCAATCACTTGTGAGCGCTTCCTCTGTACTTTCTATAGCATTCAGCATTAATAAGTACTGAAAAGATGGGAAAAACATGTAATAGACAATTTAGTGCACAACACTAGGCTCCCCCCTCCCAGCCCACCATAGTAACCCCACTTGACATCTTCATTCATCCCAGAAGAATGAGGACACCTTGTAGCAGGGCTTTTTTTCAGTGGGAACGTGGGGGAGATTGATTGTCGCTTGGAGTGGGTCTTATGTTGCTGGCGGTGTCAACTGTTGGTGGAAGGGATCTACTGTTGAAGGAGGGGTCTGTTGTTGCTAGCTGAGGGCAAATCCATTGTTACTGGGGGATCTATTGTTGCTGGGGGTCTATTGTTGCTGGCTGAGAGGGTTCTATTTTACTGTTTATATTGTTATTAACAAATTCCATACAAATTATTTAGCAGCACCACAAAATGATACTTGGTTCTGTATTCTCTAAAAGGCAGTACTGGGAGGTGGTAGGGGTTTAAAAACAAGGAACATGTGGGTAGAGGCAGAGACAAGGCTGACTTTGAAAGGGAGAGTTCCTGCACCTATTCCCTGAGACTCTGAGAAAAAAAAACCCTGCCTAGTAGTGAAAAAATTACCGTGATGGATAGTATCATAGAGCAGGTTAGTATTATAGTCCTCACAAGACCTCCTTCTCTGTAGTTCCCTGGTCTCCTCCTCCCATGCCCACCTCCAGGACTTCTCCAGGGTGTCACCCATCCTCTGGAACTCCCTGCCCCAACCCATCAGATTATTACCTACTCTCCTCTCCTTTAGGCGCACCCTGAAAACCCATCTCTTCAGGGAAGCCTACCCCACCCCCTGCTAACTTGCCGACCTCCTCCACTCTTCCTACCACCCCATCCCCCACAGCTATCTCCTCCTGTGCCACCATCCCCTCCCTCCTAGATTGTAAGCTCGAAAGAGCAGGGCCCTCGATCTCCTCATGTTT